AGTTTTTCAGCTTCAAGACTTATTTAAGTGTTCTTCAGTAATGCGCAACTTCCTTTTTCTCTTTGAAAACTGTGAGCGCTATGTAACAGTTATTTACAAGACCTTCCATTTATTTCCTTTTAAAATCACAGCCTTTGCAGTCAGCTAAAAATGATCCTACATTTGCTTCTAATCTTTCTTAAACGAAAGGAGGACTCAAAAAATAAAACAAATACTTTCTCAACGCCTATATTTTAACAGCAACGCTGTTCAGGGTATTACAAATCATATGACTCTCGGTGTTGAGATACCTATATGAACATAACATATGATAAAGAGAGAATTGATGAACCAGAACTTGTGAAATTCGTTTTTAACGTATTGTCTTTCAAGTTTGTTTTTTGCCTATAATCTTTCCCTTTTCATGATATCGACCTTTTCCTAGTGATAGGATTTCATTTCTTGTCGGCCTTCTGCCTTACGCACTGTATTTTTAGTTCAATGTCGATGAAGTTCAGATCGATAAAATGGCTACCAATAACTTATTCCGTACACGTAGTATGATCTGAGGGCTTATTTTCTATTCATTTCCACCACCTTTTTTCCGTTTCTCTTTCTTTAATTTATTATTTCATTTAGCATATTTTATTAGTCGCTTCTGAGCGGTGTAATAAAGCAGCAAATGAATCACCATATTGCACTGAGAAAGCGCACATAGAGGTTTGTATACTAGCTTTCGTCACGAATTAAACGCAAGAAAAGCCTTGACTTGACTTCACAGAATCACAGTTACACCAGATCTCAACCTAATCCCCAGGTTCTTCTCGTTTTCTAATAACGAGAAGACCCTGGGGACAAGATTCACCAGATCCTGAGTTGTTTGATGCAAAATTGGGCTGTTGTTCCCAGGACCTCTCGTCTTTCCGCCCCAAGGAGCAATAGAAATCCACCATGATCAAGAAGACCGTCATCTTTGGGATGCTGCGCGAAGTCTCTGCAAACGAGGTAAAACAAGGAAAAGGTCAAACAAGCAACACAAGTGGGTAGCCTTTTCGTACTCTGTCATCTCTGAACAATATGACGTGGGTTTACCAGTGTTTGCAGAAGACGTGAGACAGGTCATTTCTGCACAACTTCTCTACATCATAAGTAATTTCGCAGGATGAAAAAATTAACAGTTTGCACTTTTGCATAAGCTTTGTTGTCGGTTATTTCTGTACAGTTTGTACAGCTATTTAAGTACTACTTTAGGGTTTAACATCAGAAGTTTTTATTATTCATGTGAAACAGTCGTTTGCACAAAATTTGTACAACGTCATAGATCTTATTATGGGATGAACATGACATACCATATGCATATTACTTCGTACTGTTTGACAATAGTTCTATGACGTCAAATGGTATTATGGGATGTAAATATACAACACCTGAGGGCACGTTTTCCGAAGCCGTGTGGTCAGTCATTTCGTTTGTAAATGTANTTTTCTAATAACGAGAAGACCCTGGGGACAAGATTCACCAGATCCTGAGTTGTTTGATGCAAAATTGGGCTGTTGTTCCCAGGACCTCTCGTCTTTCCGCCCCAAGGAGCAATAGAAATCCACCATGATCAAGAAGACCGTCATCTTTGGGATGCTGCGCGAAGTCTCTGCAAACGAGGTAAAACAAGGAAAAGGTCAAACAAGCAACACAAGTGGGTAGCCTTTTCGTACTCTGTCATCTCTGAACAATATGACGTGGGTTTACCAGTGTTTGCAGAAGACGTGAGACAGGTCATTTCTGCACAACTTCTCTACATCATAAGTAATTTCGCAGGATGAAAAAATTAACAGTTTGCACTTTTGCATAAGCTTTGTTGTCGGTTATTTCTGTACAGTTTGTACAGCTATTTAAGTACTACTTTAGGGTTTAACATCAGAAGTTTTTATTATTCATGTGAAACAGTCGTTTGCACAAAATTTGTACAACGTCATAGATCTTATTATGGGATGAACATGACATACCATATGCATATTACTTCGTACTGTTTGACAATAGTTCTATGACGTCAAATGGTATTATGGGATGTAAATATACAACACCTGAGGGCACGTTTTCCGAAGCCGTGTGGTCAGTCATTTCGTTTGTAAATGTATGACGTGTAAGTAATATTATGGGATGGACATTAATGGGAACATCGCTCGGTCAGCACGCTTCCAGAACCTGTTTACAGTTTGGTGTTTGTTACGGCTGTGATAGTCGTTACTTTATAGTGGCGAGGTATAACGCAAAACGTAGGAAACCGTTAGGAAATGGTCACTGTAACACTTTTGGACGAAACCTGGAGGCCTTGTTTGAAAATTTGGCCCCAACTAAAAAGCTGTGGTGCTCGGGATTTCAAGCATTCTTGGAGGTAAATAGACGATAGGAAACCGTAGTTTTGGCTGTAATCTGTCCGGATGTCTTGAAGGTGCAAATATTGTGCTGAGCCTATCGAGAAATCGTATTTGGAACTTGAGCAAAGACGGCAAAACTGGTGGCTCCGTCGGTCTTTCGTGTTAAAGAACAAGCGAAAAAAGGAGGCGTGCAAGAATAAAAGTGCTAAATATGAGCCCAGCTCCCCTTTGTTCTGCACTCAACATTATTACTTTGCCCAAGATCCGATCCTGTTTGGCAAAAGACGCAAATTTAGGAGAGCTTCACAGGGAGAGGGAGAATGCTTATTCTTCTTTGGATTTTGTGGTACAGCTGAAGAAGTTGTTCTCCCCTTTTAACCGTTTATAACTCAAGCTCTCGTGGCAAACTCGTTAGGGTGATTGCATCACAAATGAGCATCACAAATGATCACGTTAACTCACGCAGAAGATAGAGAGTTACTTCAACCAAAAGCTTGCTCCTGTAACATCAGCTCACAGCTGAATTAACTGAACTTTCAGTGGGTAAGGAACCTAAGTTAACAACTCGGTTGGAGAAAACTACAACATTTCAGTCAGGTTTTACCCTCCTTGTATTCCTGAGTACCTTTATACTGGTTCGCGAGTTATCTCCTCTATAAAACAGCGACGAAAGCAGAGCATTGGAGATTTAGAGGTTTAAGTGATGACGGTACGGGGGTGAATCCAGCGTTCTGAAACGAATGGTGGATGTAAAGTTGAGGAAACCGTCGTAATTGGCCGAGTCTGGTAAACGCTTTTGGAAGTGCAAACAAAGTGGCAAAATATAGTCCCCTACGCTGGTTCATACAAGCCTAGTCAGAAACGCCATGGCTCTATTACAATGCCTGAGAAAAGGTTACATATGTTCTCTAGGTAAAGTAAGATAGCTCATAAACCGCTTATCATTAAAGCAAAAGATATCTCGCCAAGGTGACTTTGGCGAACAAAGATAATACTTACATAATACTGATGCTTTCAGCTTTATACATGCACCTGACACCTTTTGTATTTAATCAACAACGTGAGATAATTCCTTTCACACGAATTGCATTGTTTACCGAAAATGCGGCGAAAAATACAGAAAATCCAAATAGTGTTTTCTACTGTGGGAAATCCGGAGATTTTTGTGTAGTAACTCTTGAAAACATGGCTAATTCAGCAATCTATACACGCTCAAGCCACTACGATCAGAATTATTCTGGTTAAGAACTGTCGTCTTTTGCGATTTAAACGTCATTAATTCCTTCATTTCAACCGGAAAAATGTGTTCTCCTAGTTCATGTGAAGAATACAGACGAGACGAGAGATTTTTGGTAATGGAACAGAAGATTTCCATAAACCTCCCGATTTTGCCCCAGATTAGCACGTAACTGTTCTAAGAGAAACCTCACAAAGTCGTTTTGTTGTACAACGTTTTACGTGAATTCCTTCAATAATATTATTTAATACTCAAAATATTCTTTGGAAAAAATGGTGGCCCTTTTAAAACAAATAATAATAAACAAATAAGTAAAGATCAACTAAAGAGCAAAGTTTACCAAAGACTTCAGAACGCACACACAAAAAAATCACATTTAGCAGTTAACCCTTCTACTCTGATGTGATAGTCAAAACAAATTGAACTTACTTGCTATGAGCCTTGAACTGAGAAAGTGAAACTACTGCCTTAGACGTTTTAAGGGCCTGTCTGTGTACTGAAAGTTAGAGAAACATGACTTGTGTCATGTTTGACTCGCTGGTGAAGTAGTTCCATAATTTTTTAGCTGATTTAAATCGCATCCGCTGTTGATTGTCTTGTTAACTAAACTGCGGGCCAATCATATACGAGACAAAGTTCTCTGCGGTTCGCAAACTTTAGAGAACATTTCCTTCCGTTTCAAAACGTAACCGTTTTCGTGTTATTGTCATAAATTAAAGTTTTCGATGACGTTATTACGGTGAGGCAAACGACGGGACATTGAAAGATATTCAATTGGGAGGTTACGATACCATGACACCAAGAGCACAAAGAATAGTATAAATACAGTTGGATTGCATGCTAGGCAAAACGTGCCCCTATAAGTGCGTTGTACTTTTTGGAAAATTTCTCCAATATCCTCTGCAAAACGCCATGGACAAAACTTTACCATGGACACTTAAGTCACTGAAAACAAGTTAAAGAACCACTGGAGCAGTTTGAAATTGACAAGATTGTTTTCCATGTCCAAATTTCCCCGTCGTTGCCTTTTTGATATCTTAAAATTCCGTATTTAAAAGGTTTTTGCTACGGTGCGTTCTGAAAAACGTTTTTTCTCATTTCTTGAATTAGCAGTCTGAACGGCAAAACCTGTTGAAATCAATTAAGGGAATCGAGAGTTGTCCATGCATGTTTCCAGGAGAATTAAGCAGAGATTCGTAAATGAAAAAACCCTAAACTAAAGTAGAAAACATGTTTTGTTTCACGAAAAATTGAACCTTCATTACCTGTGACAACGTCCTTGTTATCCCCAGAATTTTGCTTGAATTTCTAAAACCTTTATCCACATAGCCATAAGTCGCGCAAAAATAGTAGTGCATTAGTAATCGCCGTATTTAAATATCCTTAGCAGCTCCCAGAGTTCTTGCGTGATGCACAGAACGTGTGCGCAGTCAGTAGGAATAAACAACATCAGCCATGCTTCCTTTCACGAGTTTTACAACCATGCACACAACGCACGACTCTTCACTCTGGCGGGCATTTGCGTTAGTAGACATGGTGGAAAGCATTCAGGAAGTATGGGTCATTGGTTAATACAGTCGACTGATAACTCGAACCCTCGCTTACTCGAACCTCGCGCTTACTCGAACCAAAATCGATTTCCCCTGGTTTTCCCTCATACATTTACTGTAATTGTACCCTCGGTAACTCGAACCCTCGCTAACTCGATCCTCCCGCTAACTCGAAGTAATTTTTGTTTCCCCACAGATCATTTCTATATAATGTTACCCTCGATAACTCAAACCATGTTTTGATCGCTTAAAAAGGAGGGAAAAAAACAGTGACAACAAAAACAACCGGGTTGTTCAAACCTGGGTTAAGATAATCCAGGGTTAGTACGAAATTTAAACTCAGATATAAAAACTAAAAAAAAACAAATTCAGTCTTATTCTTTTCGTCTACAATTTGATGATTGGATACGCTAAAGAGAATAGCAAAACCTATCCGAGGAAATGCTTTTAAACAAAAGAAAAAGAAAGTCAGATTAAAATTTAACCCCAAGTTAGCGCTAATCAGCCTTCGAACAACTGGGCCCCGGCGTTCGAAACATCGATTTTGATTTTCCTACTGAATTGAGGCATATAGTTTACTGGTGGAGGCTGATGTTGTTAGCGTGAAACAGCTTTAGTCTCAAAATAGTAAAACGTTACCTTCTGATTTATAATCTAGAAGTATCTTTCAGTTTTCACTTAGCATTCTTACAATTAAATGTGATTAAAATGTTCACTGTACTGTGAAAACTGGTTTTTCCCTTACTTCTCGCTATTTGCTTCGAGCTCCCAATAACTGGAACTTTTTTCAATTTCCCTCCGGGACTGAGTCGACTGCAGTATCGACGAAGGGCGTGATGGTCGAAAAAGACGTCGGTTTGACGGTGATTTAAACTACAGTAAAACGGGCAACAAAAAACGTGAACTTGTTTGGCAACATTGCTGGAGAACTAGTTGAAAAGCGATGTTCCGCTTTTCACAACCCACGTTTGAAACTGTCTTACAATAAATAAATAAGGTTGCAAGGTTTTTTTTGTTGGTGGTAAAACGTGCAACATCGCTATTGAACTCGTTTTGCGGTAATGTTGCAAAACAAGTTGCATGTTTTTTTTTCTGTTTCCTGTTTTATTGTACCTTTAGTGTCCTGTGCATGATCGTGAAGCTCGGTTATGATTATGTTCGACGCTAAGCGGGGGTCACATTTTGAATAACTGAATTAAAGTTTAAAGGGATTTTTGTCGAGAATAAAAGATCTTTGACAATAGCAGTTACTGTTACTTTTAAAGCTCAAAAGGGTTTAACTCTTTTTTATCAAGGACCATGGATGATGGAGTTACAGCCGAACTGCTGTGGAATTGCCCCGCTACTCCCACTTTTCATAAGCCCGATGCTATTCGAGCCTCCTGGTTGGATTCGTTCTTGAAAAGGATGGGATATGAAAAGCTGGCTTGTACAGGTAATGCTAAGTGTTTAGTAGTTTCTAAGCTTCTAAATGCTACCCGAGTTACAGTTAATTTTTTGTTCGGTAACTAAGGGAGCTTTCCATTTGTTAAAACTCGCCGGTCATACTGGTGTAGTTAAGAGAATTCCACTACTAATAGAGACAGATTCACCGCGGTTCCGTGTACGGGTACGGGTAAATTAACCGTACGCGTAGCCGTTAATACGGGTAATTTGCCTCTTACCTTGGAGAAACGGATAAACTACCCGGTAGAAGGTTGACGCCATTATCACGTCTGGGAAATCATGCATCGTCACCTTTTGTATAACTAGGTGACAAACATGCTCGTCTACCCATACCCGTAGAGAGAAACTGTCACTTATCACGACCTTCTTGCCAGATAACTCTATTCATTAATGATTTGCTCGGCAAGGGTGGATTTTAGGGAAAATTTCGAGAAAAAAAACCATTATTCTATTTTCAAAATGACCGGTTCGGTCGGCCAGTTTTGACTTTTGGTAAGCGCCGATTTTGTTAACGCGTCTACGTTAGTAGAAAACAACGCGAAAAAAAAAGGGGACACAAGGCATCGGCTATAAAAAGAATGTCCTAGTAATTAGACCGTAATTATAAAGTATACTAGTGAAATTAGTTCAGCCACGTTTTCATGCTTTGGCTAACCGCATGTTAAACTGAGAAACTTTGTAAGCAACCGCTACCTCCATTCGATTGATGCACAGAACGCGTCAGGCGCTCTTTGAGACTGGAAAACACCATGATTTCATACACGTGTTTAAAGGGGCTCTGACATCACGCTATTTGCTGTCTCTTTAAAAAGCTAGAAGTTTTTTCGCATCAATAATTGGATTCCAAAATAATGATCCAGTTTTGTTATCTTAAGAATAGTTTAGGCAGTGAAACTGTTTCCTGTCGTGTGTTGCAACGCATGGTAAGGATGAACATGACATGAAACTTGAAAACGTTCCTTAATGCTGGTAGTCTTGGTAGTTCCTGATTAAATTTGTTAGCTATCTTCATAACTGCACGAGCATTTTGTGCATGGGTAAAGACACAGGCGCTTTTCATTTGTCGGAACTGGCCGGCCGGACCACTGCTCCACCACTCAGTTTGAAAATGAAATAGGCTTTTTCCACGAGTTTTTGCTGAAAACCATCTCCTTCGTGTATACTATTTAGGTTTTGACTAATGTGGCTGGAGAGTTCAACCTCGTTCCCAGGGTTCTCTCCTACCCGACCTACGGAGCGAGAGAGAGTTTTGATTAAAACGGAACTTATCATTGAGACGGGAATGGTCTGGTCGGTCAGTTCTGAAAAATGCAAAGGGTCCAAAGTAATGACTTCAGCACAGATTGACCTAAAACAGAAATATCCTTTAGGTGACGTATCCCCTTCAACAAGCATGCGCAGAATGCACAAAACCTCTCCTTGGGGGAACTCTTATGAAAGAAATAGAGGCATGCTTGTGGTCTTGTAAAGGAGGTGTAACTTGCAAAGTGGCTATGTCACGCTTTTTGCTATCTTTTTAAAAAGCTAAACTTCTCTTCGCATCAATTGAATTCCAAAAGTAAAGAGCCAGTTTTGTTATAACAACAGCAACAACTTTATTTGTACCCCATATTGATTTACTTGATACAAAACAAATCAGATAAAATATGGAGAGAGTA